TTGTTTCCACATATGTACATGCCTATAAAACTCTACACTGTCAGACAAGACCACCAAGCTCTTTGAGTCACCTCTCCCTTTCCTTCAAATGGATTAAAAACAACAAAAAAATTCCAAGTGTATCTTTAAAAGTAAGCAATCAGAAACAATACATTTTGAATATATCATGACACTTGGAACTCCGTATTTACTAGTCCCCAAAGAACTTTATAAAAAATCCCACAAATACAAATCCTTATAAACAACGGTATTTCCCTTTCAAATAGTTTTAAAGTTCTACAAAATATTTGGGACATCTTCTATGGATACAAATGATAGATCTGATCAAACAAGAGTATTTAAAGTACAGTTGACCTTGAACAATGTTGGGGTGGGGGTTAGGGACACTGGCCCCTATGTAGTTGAAAATCTGCACATAACTTTGGACTCTCCCAACACTTAACTACTAATAGCCTACACTGACCACAAGCCTTACCAAGAACATAGAGTTGATTAAAACATATTTTGTATGTTACAGTAAGCTCTTACAGTAAGCTCTTACTGTATGTTACAGTAAGAGAAAAATGTTATTAAGAAAATCATCAGGAAGATAAAATATATTACAGTACTACACTATAAATTAAATTACACAAGTAGATCCATGCAGTTCAAACTTGTGTTGAGAGTCAACTGTACAATGCACAGAGCCTCATAATTTGGACTGTGCTGTGTAAACATAAAGAAGGAAGTAAGCTCCTTCTGAAAACTAAATTCCTTAAAACGTAGGTAAGGTGAATTTCTGTATTATAGTTATTTCACTCAATATAAATTCTGCTGTGAATGACAACTCTAAAGCAGTATTATGATACTCTTCATTTGGTTTAGCAGTATGTTTTTCTTCCACTAGACAACAGATAAAACAGTGACAAGTGAGTAACATCAGTGATACTCTTCCTCAGAAAGCATAAACAGCATACAGGGTAGACTTTTTTTTTTAAGTTGTCAAATGGAAAAACAACAAAAAAAAAATTGGGAGAAAAGTCTTTATTCAAATACTTCTAGTACAACCAATAGGAAAACGTCCTCTCCATCAAAAAACCCCACCAACTCTATACTTTGCTTAAGAATAAAAAAAATCAAACAAAGCCCTTTTGAGTATTTCCAGTATCTCTTCACAACAGGCTCAGAATTAAAAATATAAAACATTTTTAATAGTATCTTCATAAAAGAAATTTTCTAAGTTAAAATTTCAACTACTTGTACTTAAAATGCTAGGGTTGCTTTCATCAAAAAAAAAAAAAACCAATAAAATCAGCTTAAAATAAATTTATTGTACAATACAAAAAGTAGGCATACTAGAAAATAAAAGGTACATTATTAAATATACAAAGCAAACAAAAGAAAGCTAAATAACACAAATGTTTTAATCCAAACACTAAGATAAAATGCACAACATTTATGCTAAAATAAAGTATTTCTCAGGAAGGATATGCATTTCAAATGAAATGTTAATAATGAAAAAAAAAAGAAAAACAAATGTGCTAACTTCTAAATGCTTGAATATCAAGAATCTGTAATGGCATGAAACATTAAATCCACAATACTGGGTACTTTTCAAGAACTTTATTTGAAAAGGCATTAAAAATACTGATGGAATTGATTTAAAGAATGTCTTTAAATCTGGCAAAGATTTTCCTTATTTTTTTCTTTTTTCGTTAAAGTTTGGGAGCCTATTCACAGTATCTTCCGTCTTCTTCCATTTGGATAACTTCCTACAAAAATTTCTGGATACTCACCCTCACAAGATTCTTTAAACAGCCTAGATAACATTACTTCACTGGTAAGTGTGCATTTACTCCTTAGCAATGTAAGTGCCATACATTAACAACATAATTGTGAAATCTATATATATGGGCACAATAGGAAACATTAAAGTTTCATTTTATAAAGTAAAACCAATCTCCAAATGCAATAGTAAAATGTAACAATTTAGAGCATAGGGGAAAAAATAAAGCTTTTTCCCCCAATCTATCAATTAAGACATTCCCCAACTGCAAATGGCTTTGGTGGAACTCATAGTACAAATGATACTGTTTAAAGGTGTTGCAGAGGTGAGGGCTTCAAATAAAAACCCTCTCCCTTGGAAATGGCCAAATCGGAAGCATCTAGTGACATATGCATATGTACATCAGAGAAATATTCAAGTAACCATAAAACCCTTGATAAAATCCTCTAAAAATTAACATATAATTATTTAAAGTTAGCTAAAAAGCTTTTGACCAACACCTTTGGAAGGGAACTTCTTTTTCTATTATCACAGTTCCCAAGTTCCAGACATCATATGATCAAATTTTTTGTATTTATATTTAAACCAATATCTAAATTACTCAGTGAAACCTGTTTTATTACACTATTATTTACTTTCATAGACGTTATCTACCATATATATGCCGTAACACTAAAAAAAAACAAAACAAAAAAAAACCAAAAAAACCAACTATCAAGTTCTCCTTCTAGACCTGAGAACCCATCACTGCCCCTCCAAAATCTACAAGTTTAAGAATGAATAAAACAAAAACAAAAAATACCTTGCAGGTATGGATAATGTGGAGAAAACTGAAGAGATATTTGGAAGAAGGAAGAAGTGTGAATAGGTCCTAAAGAATTTTACAATCACTTTGCCAAGACAGACTTTAAACATTGTAAATTATCCAAAATAGTCCTTCTCTTAAAAACAAGTTTTGATTCTCAATATTGCATTTTTATAACCAAACAAAAGGATTCAGATCTAACATTTTAGTAGTATGCTTACTACCATCAGACTGAATTCATTTCCTAAGTACTCTAAAAGAGTTCAAATAAAACAAACTTTATGAGATGTCATTATAATTTATCATATAAGATTCATTAGCATTTGTGAAATTATTAGGATAATAAAAATATTAAAAGCTAAAACCCAAGACTTCACCATTCATACTTAAATATAACATAGAAAAAGTAACGTGGGTAATACAAAAATAAAACTGTTTAGGTAAACATCTCACTTGAGGACACTCACTGTTGCTCCTTCTGAGTAACCATTATAGCTTTTTAACAGTGAAATGTCATTATCTTACTTCTGAAATTCTTTGGCTGGAATGTTTTAGTAACATAAGACACTCCTGTACATGACAATTTTGACAGAACATAGAGGAATTGCAAAATAAAAAAAGCACAGACATGATTTATATTTTAAAGTATTTGATAAAATTTAAAATGAAGTTTTAAAAAATTTAAAGGCAATCTATCACTAAAAATGGCATAAAATGTAAACTTAAGCTAATTTTATAATCTATTGCTATATTAAATAATTTGGGATTCATTATTTTGCCTTTTTAGTTTTGTATTTAGCATAGAAATAGCTTTCTACTGCCCCTATAGACATCACGTAAGTTTTAAAACTGGGAAAGAAAAAACAAAATGTAACTAAATTTATGAGTTCAATGTGTGGGTTTTAGAACCAAAAAATTAATATTTCTTACTATTTTAAAATGAGGGTTAAGTTAAAATTTTAATTATACCATGAAAAAATTTAAAGGAATTTTTCCTTTTTGCATCTTTAAAAATAAAGCAAATTTGCTTTACTTATTTATAAATACTTTTTAAAGACCAACAAATCCACTTTTTAATCTCTTATCTTTATACAAAAGATTAAAAGGAAAAAAAGCTTTACGGCTCCAGCACCCAAGGTTGAGAACACAAAAAAACTCAAATAAATATTTATAGTATGCAAAAAAGCTAAAGATGTTTGAGAGGTTAAGTGAAGAACATTCTGAAACTATAACCCATTTCTTTAGCTTTTCTCTCCCAGACTTTCCATTCTATATACTACAGTTGTGGAGATGTCCTCATTTGACTCAGGTGACACTTTTTTCCATACTGTCTCTTTTAAAGCAAGTTCTTGTTGGAGACTTTCATAGTCCAATGGTCCAAAGGAATGCTAGTTGTTCAAGCAACATACATAATTTATTAGTGCACTTGAGTGAAGAAAGGTCCAAGCTATAAAACGGTATTTTTCAATGAATGTTATTAAAATCTGTTAACATTTTCACCCACCACCATTTGATGTTTTGTTCCATGTTACTCATGATGACGCTCAGGAAGTTTCTATTCTGTTGGCTTTGCATAATTCTCATATATTATAAGTTACTTTGGAACTAACAATAGGAAAGTCTTCTTACTATGCATAAAAATAATTTCTACTTTTAAGTGCTTCATATTAGCTTTAAGTCTAATTAGTTATTTACTATGAACATTTTCCAAATGGGATATAAAGGAATTTAATTAAAATTCAAAACAAGTCCTTGTTCTAGTGAGTAACTATGAAGACAAAAAATCTTGTTTCTGAAATTTAAGTTCTGACTCTTAAATATTAGCTCTAAAAAAAGTATGTATGTGCAATAATATGAAGCCAAACACACTGATAAATCAACAAATATTACTTTAAAATAAGAGTGTCAAGAATTCTGTATCAAACACTTTTTATAGAAAGTATTTCATCTGTAGTGGCCACTAAAACTATGAGGCTTTGAAAGATTTCTCACTAATACTATAATCCCTTTTCCATTTATAAATCCATCCACATCAAAATAAACTTTAAAACTATAACTGACAAATATTAAGAGTAAAAAAAACCAAGGCTTTCTTTTATAGCATTTGTAGCACTTTCCAATGTTTTCTTGAAACAGAATTAATTCTTCTTTTTAACAGAATCAATTCTTAAAAAAATTGCTTGAAATAGCAGGAAAATGGGTGGTAGGTAAACTCTGCTGCTAGGTTAACCAGTTTAAATTTAAATAAAACAGCCACATCTATATACTATCACGTCCAGGGTAAATATGTCAACAATTTGTGTACATTCATTTGTGATTAGCAAATAATGAGGCCACCAGCATTTAAACTAAGTTGTATTCAAACAGGTGAATCTCATTTTCTCTCTTAGAAAAATATTACATAATAATCTAAATAAGAATTTTGCTTACCCTTTGATCACCGCCTTCTCTTCGAGGATCAAGTTTTTTTGCAAAGTGTCTCAGATTATCATAGTTATGGAAATTACAGAGAGAAACAAGATCCTGTAAATAAACAGAACAGGTGTTAAGAAACTGGCTATTCATTGGCCATTGTTTTTTCACATTTTAACAAATCACACTAATATTGTCTAACTTAACTACTATCTCATGGAAAACACCACTGCATGTTATAAAGCTGCCTGATGAATCAAGAAGAGAACTGAAATCAGAATGAGAAGACAGGGACAAAAATTTTGAGAACACTGCTTACTAGCATGACCCTAGGACTCAACCATCAAATTGTTTAACTTTCATTTCCTATAAAATGGGCCATATGAAAGAACTATTCTATCAAATAACTGTAAAGCACCACAAAAATATAAATCGATATTCTGGTTATAATCTATAAGCAATCCAACGTCATCCTCTAGCTTTTGTAAAATATAAGAAACTGAAAAATAAATCAGAATTTTAATTGAGAAAGTTTGCAGAAAAATTATGGTACACAATATAGAGTCTATGAAGCAGCAAATGTACATAAAACCAGAAGCTGAAATATTAGCAAACTTGGATAACATAAAATACTGAACTAATCAACAATAATAACAATTTTATTTTGCAGAGCGTATGTCCTCAAAAAACAGACTTTTCAAGGTAGTTTATGGATAAAGATATTCAAACATGATGATATAATAAACTATAATATTCTTAATTGGCTTTAAATTTAAACCTTTCCAAGTTTAATAATTTTAGTTGAGCTTCTGGAAACTGAAAACTATTTAAAACCATGACAATTAAAACATCAGCTTCAAACTAATTTTCTGTGGGAATGAGTATATGGGACCTGTCTGATGGAAGCAATTTGAAGCTCCTCTATGAGTACTTCCACAGCTACCCCAGTAACTGGCAGATAGGCAGGCAGAATGCCAACAAGCAAAAAACTACCGAAATGACTTAAAAAAAAAAATCACTGGATGGTTCCACTTATATGATCATTATCATACAATATCCATTCATGATAAAAACCTTCAACAAAGTAGGTTTAGAGGGAATATACCTCAACACAATAAAGACCATATATGAAAAACCCACAGCTAACATCATACTTAATAGGGAAAAAAAACTTCAACGCTTTTCCCTTAAGATCAAGAACAAGATGTCTACTCTCACCACTTAAATTCAACACAGTGTTGGAAGTTCTAGCCAAAGCAATCAGACAGTAAAAGAAACAAGAAGCATCCAAATTGGTAACAAAGAAGTAAAACTTTCACTATTTGCAGATGAAATGATACTCCAGAAAACCCTAAAGACTCCACCAAAAAACTACTAGAACTGATAAATGAATTCAGTAAAGTCACAAGATACAAAATCAATATACAGAAATCCAATGCTATTGGATTATTAGTTTTACACACTAATAATGAAACCACAGAAAGTAAAGAAAAAAATCCCATTTATAATTGCACCAAAAATAATAAAATACCTAGGAATAAACTTAACCAAAGAGGAAAGACCTGTACTCTGAACTCTAAAATGCTAACAAAGACGACACAAAGCAATGGAAAAGACATTCCATGCTCATGGAATGGAATAACAAATATTGTTAAGATGTCTACACTACCCAAAGCAATCTACAGATTTAATGTAATTCTATCAAAATACCAAAAGCATTTTTCATAGAACTAGAACAAGCCAGAAATTTGCAAAAAAAAACCCACAAAAGACTCTAAATAGCCAAAGCAATCTTAAAAAAGAAGAACAAAAACCAAGGTATCACAATTCCAGACTTCAGTTCTATTACGAAGCCATAATAAAACAGCATGGTGCAGGCACACAGATATCAATGAAACAGAACAAAACATCCGGAATTAAACCCATAATTATATGATCAACTAATCTTCGACAAAGTAGGAAAGAATATGCAATGGTTTAAAAAGATAGACTCTTCAATAAGTGGTGTTGGGGAAACTAGACAACTGCATGCAAAATAATGAAAGCGGACCATTTTCTTACACCATATACAAAAATCAACTCAAAATGGATTAAGGAATTACAGTCAAGATCTTTCTAGATATGTCTCCTGAAGCAAAGAAAACAAAAGCAAAAATAAAGTATTGGGACTACATCAAAATAAAGTTTCTGCACAGCAAAGGAAACAATCAACCAAACTAAGAACAACCTACTGAACGGGAGAAGATACTTGAAAATTACCTATTAAAATTAAGGGTTAGTATCTAAAATATATAAGGAACTGATATAACTGAACACCCAAAAATCAAATTATCTGATTACTAAATGGACAGAAGACATGAACAGACATTTCTCCAAAGACATGCAGAAGGCCGACAGACACATGAAAAGATGCTCCACATCACTCGTCATCAGGGTAACGCAAATCAAAACCACAATGAGGTATAACTTCACATTTCTCAGAATGGCAAAAATCAGAAACTAAAGAAACAAGTGTTGGTGAGGATGTGGAGAAAAAGGAACCTTTGTGCACTGTTGATTGGAATGTAAACTGGCACAGCCACTATGGAAAACAATATGAAGTTTCCTTAAAAAGTCTAAAAAAAATGTTAAGAAAGAACTATTCTATATCCCGTAATCACACTATTTGGCATTTACCCCCCAAAATACGAAAACACTAATTTGAAGGGATATATGCACCCCTATGTTTACTGGAGCATTATGTACAATTGTCAAATTAGGGAAAGAGCCCAAGTGCCCGCTGATGGATGCATGGAATAAAGAAGAAGTGATGTGTACATATATACACAATGGAACATTATTCAGCCATAAAGAAGAAGGAAATCTTGCCATTTGGCTACAACATGGATGGATCCAGAGTATAACACTAAGTGAAGCAAGCCAGTCAGAGAAAGAAAAATAGCATATGATTTCACTTGTTTGTAGAATTTAAGAAAAAAAAACAAATAGGGGGGAAAAAAAGAGATAAACTAAAAATAGACTCAACTATAGAGAACTGCTGGTTACCAGAGAGGTGGGTAGGGAGATGGGTGAAATAGGTGAAGGGGATTAAGAGTGCACTTATCATGATGAACAATGGATAATGTATAGACTTACTGAGTCACTATATTGTACACCTGAAACTCATATACATCATCATATATTAACTATATTGCAATTAAAATTTAAAAGAATGGATTCACTGGATGTTCCACTTATATGACCATTATTTTCATTAAGAAAATTTGCTTACATGACAGAAATGAATTCCCTTAACACTGTTGCCCATCTTGTCCAGAGGAGGAGACCAGCACATCATGCCCATGACATTGGGCACAACTAAAAGAATGCCCCCAGCAACTCCGGATTTTGCAGGAAGACCAACCTGAAAATAATTTGAAGAAAAAGATATTCATGTTAACATTTAAAAAAAAGGGAGGTTACGGGGGCGCCTGGGTGGTTCAGTGGGTTAAAGACTCTGCCTTCGGCTGAGGTCATGATCTCAGGGTCCTGGGATCGAGCCCTGCATCCGGCTCTCTGCTCCACGGGGAGCCTGCTTCCCCCCGCCCCCACGCCTGCCTCTCTGCCTAGTTGTGATCTCTGTCAAATAAATAAAATAAAAAAAAAAAAAAAAAAAGGGAGGTTACGTCCAACGATAAGGGAACTGGCTTAAAAATTATGGTTTACAGGGACGCCTGGGTGGCTCAGTTGGTTGGGCGGCTGCCTTCGGCTCAGGTCACGATCCCAGCGTCCTGGCATTGAGTCCCACATCGGGCTCCTTGCTCATCAGGGAGCCTGCTTCTTCCTCTGCCTCTGCCTGCCATTCTGTCTGCCTGTGCTTGCTCTCTCTCCCTCTCTCTCTGACAGATAAATAAATAAAATCTTTAAAAAAAAAAAAATTATGGTTTACATACACATAGAATTCTAACACTACAAATGTTGTGGAAAAGTATCTTTCAACATGTATATAAGGAATAAATGAGAAAACACTATTAGAGCTGAAATATATTTGAATATAGAAAAATTTGAAAAGATATACTCTAAGGATTAAAGTCCATTACATCATAAATTGTGGGGCTATGCATGTTTTTATTTTAGTCTCTTGGCCTATATTTTTTTAATTCTATAATAAATATGAATTCAAGTATAAAAAGTTACTTTGAAAAAGATATTCTACGACTAGAGAACAATGAGAAATTATAGCTTCTTAAAAGATTCTCTGTAGGGGTGGCTCAGTCATTAGCATCTGCCTTCAGCTCAGGTCATGACCCCAGGGTCCTAGGATCAAGCCCCACATTGGGCTCCCTGCTGGGGGGAGCCTACTTCTCCCTCTCCCACTCCCCCTGCTTGTGTTCCCTTTCTACCTCCTGCCTGCATTCCTTCTCTTGCTATGTCTCTCTGTCAAATAAATAAATAAAACCTTTAAAAATTTTAAAAAATTGAAAAAAAAAAAAGATTCTCTGATACACTGTCAGAGAACTGTCTGAGGAAGAGAAGATAGTAATTTAAACTAATCCTCTTCAAAACTTTTAAGTTTGCATTCTGTAACACTTGACAGTAACTATGATAAAAGACAGTATTAATATCATCAGGGCAGTATTCATTAATGGCTTACTAACATTCCGATATTGAGTATCTATTGCTAGAAGTAATCTTGCATAAAACCTAAGGAAAAAAAAAATCACCTGAATGGGATATACCAATTTACCGGGAATGCAAGATACAAAGAACAATGGTATGGATAAAATAAAATCTATACTGTGAGGAACTGTACAGGATAAATGACCCAGTTTTTTTCAACTAAAAACAAGAAAAAAGAAAGGTCAAGGGGGAGAACACAGATTTTAAAAATAATAATAAAGGGAGATAAAACCAATCACAGTGTATGCCCCTTATTTGCATCCCAAGTCAAACTAGAAAATAATTTATAAGACAATCCAGATCAGCTGAACACTAAATATTTTGATGCTATTAAAGACCAAGTTTTTTTTATCTTTTTAAATGTAATAATGTTGCTATGGTTTTTTAAAAACGTCCTTATCATTTAGAATTACATATTAAACTACAGCAAGAGTATGACGTAAAGATAAACAATATTGGTCATGCATTAATAATTACTGAAGTTGAGTAGTGGATAACACATTAAATGCATTTCTCTATTTTTCTATTTTAAAAATTTCAAGTAAAATTTTTAGGGCATTTTGTCTTCACATAAGCATGAATAAGAAAGTCTATAGATTTCACAAGAGTACACAAATGTTCACAAGGGCAGGACAGAGCTTTATGCAGTATATTTTTGTTAAATATACTTCAAGTGCCTTAAATATCTACGACAATAACCAAAGATGTTAAACATCACAATTATGTGCACCTTCTGAACGTAAGGAGTTCTTGAGCATAGGTAATCACCATAATGCTAAATATTAAGAAAAAGCAAAGAAAGTCTATACTAACCGTGTACATTGGAATGCCTTAAAAGTAGAAGTCATGCGGTTCTATAAATTAAACTTCAAGTACTCAAGAATATCTGGTAGACTAATTAACTCTATTCCTTACCAAGTCTGTAACAAATTAACCTTGAAAACAAGTCTCTCTTGTTTTTTGTTCAGCTTTAAAACCAAAGTTCAAACTGTATTTTTAAAAGAACTAGTCCAGACTAGTTTCTTGCAGTAGAAAACTGAGATCAAACAATTACTTACATGGAAAGCAAACTGCCCTGAGAAATCATACATGCCACAGGAGTGCATCAAACTCAGTGTGTTCCGAACTGCTTCAGGGCTCAGTACTCTCTCCCCAGTAATTGGACAGAAACCTCCGTTAGCCAGCGTTGCAGCCATCACACTGGCTGATTCACAAGTTACTTCAATGGAGCATAACTAAAAGGAAGAAAAAACTGTCTGAAAATCCAAGTTCACACTATTTTTTGTACTGCAGTTGACTTCTAAGATAATCTGTTTCATCTGGTACTTTATACAGATCTGAAATCTTTCTTCTAAGGGGATTATTTTAATATAATTTAATAACATTCCAAAGATTTTAATTTGAACAAAGTTCAAAGCCCCTTTAAGGTTTATCCCAATTTGCCAGTTACATAGTCTTCTAACAGCAAAACTAGGATAGGAAGAGCCAGCCCCTAAGCACTAACATTTGTAACTGCCCAAATGATATTAAAAGTTGTTTAAATATTAATACTTTCTAACAATTGTTTTTAAATCAAAAGAAAAGGGAGCCATGATATATTTTTAAGATAAAGCAACATACATCAGTAGTATGATAGACAGCATCTACATGAGAAATTACCATTCAAGGAAAAAAATGCTAAAATGCCTGACATTTCACTGCAAAGTTCAGCATCCCTATGTAGCAATATGTAAAAAATTAAGGGAAGAAAACTCTAAGATCGCTCTAGCCTGGATATTCTGTGTGCCTAAATCAAAATGCTACCTTTTAAATCACTTATTAATATTCAAATATTTATTCGAAACTGATTATGGGTGCTGGATAAATTATAATCTATAAAAAAAGGCAAAGTCCAGTTGCAGTATAGTTCAGACATTTAAATACAGTCAAAATAATGGAAAGAGTTTATCATAGCAGACCCAAATTTACCCGTAAAATGGGAACAATAAATATGCTCCATTTTATTTTTCCTTTACAGCAACCAAAACTGTGGGGGTAGGGGAGGAAACAGAAGAGAAAGAAGATGGAAGAGGGAGCAGGAGGAAAAGACTAGGTTCTCAACGTGTAAGCTTTCCTTATCCATAGTTCAAGATTCTACAAGAGGCACAAAGGGGTTTGGGAGAGCAAGAAGGAAAACTAGCTACAGTGCATTAGGAAACTGACGGGGAGCCACTTTTTGTCTGACTTTTACTTTTATTTGTATTAAAATCTCTTAAAATCTCTTCCCTATTTCTTCAAAACTAGAAAACCTAATTACTAGACTGACCCAGACAGCAAAGACTTACAGCAGATTTAATCATGAAACTTTCTAAAATAAGTAAGATTTAAATTCCAATAATCATTTCCCAATTTATACTTGGTATAAATACTTTGGTATACTTGGTATTAATTTGGAATTTTGTTTGTCATAAAATGATATACTACAAATTTTACAAATCCCAATCTGAAAGTACTTTCCTGATACCCTGACGGATGTTCAATTACATGTAGCCATTCTCCAAAAAAGTAAGGCTTCTATGGCCTTCTCTTAATTTTTGCCCAGAAGTACAGACATTTCACAGTAGACTAGTAGCACCTAGGCTGTAATAGCCAAAGTAAAGTATGTATACCAAAGGAAAAGAAGCATTAATGTATGGAAGAAATTCATACGGGCTAGGGCAAAAAACAGGGCTACTGGATATAAGTCAATATGATACTATATATATAATACCTTTTGAATTCAAAGAAATTTCACACATATCATCTCATATTATCTTCAATGTAATGCAAAAAGTTAGGGTAAGCATGTGCTATACATAATAAAACAAGGCCTAAGTAACTGAAATTAGGTCACATGGTTAAAAAGTGGCCAGATTAGACCTTGATTTTATATTGATAGTCTGGATTCTCGATTCACAATTCTTTACATTAGCAGGTGACAACTGTCATCAAAGTCTACTTCATTATCAATATTCCTTATATACTCTTGAAGATTACCACAAATTCTAAATTCAAGCACATCTTGTACAGACAGATAAATGTAAGGTTAACTAGAAATCAATGGAAAGTAATTTGTTACTATGTAGCTTGATATTATAGCCCATCAGAGGCTCCAATGTTACTATATCTGTAGGAATGAAATGAACTGAACACACAGGGAGAAAAGAGAGCTGTCCTGGAAGGCTATTTAAAACCAAGTTCTATAACCACAGATTACGTGTGGCCCACCTCTCTCACAAATGCGGAGAGCTACTTTAACTTAGGAAAAAACCCATCAGATGACACTGCAAAAATGAATTAAACCAACCAAAAAACTGCCTCTTCAAGATGCTGAATATAAACCCTCTGATAAACAACTAAATTCTCCAAAATTGAAAAGCTAAGAAATCAGCTTAGTTTAAATAAGGACAAGCGAATTTCTAGAGTTATACATAATTTTTGACACTTCTTAAATATAGTGTTTTTACAGAAAAAACCTCCCTCTTACATTCTGAGGCATGACATTTTAGGAGAAAAAGACATGAAATTATCTTTTATGAAGGCTTTTTTTGGGAAGGTCAATGGTAAATGTATTCTATCTTAACCTGGAGCCATGATTCCACAAAGTGTGACACACCTATTTATATATACAATTCATACAGTTAAAGTAAATTACCTGGAAATAGAAGTCTAATATACCAACCATGTCTGTGCCTTCTGGGAAACACTGAAAAAAAAACAGAAAGGCAATTAAAAACAAGAATATATGCACATAACTAAAAGACACATAAAGATTAAATTTAAAATGTACACAAATGTTTCACCTTGAGAAAACAGCACATAATTTGTAAACAGTATAAATATGAAATAATGAAGAACAATAAAATAAAACTACATCACATACAGATTTCTAAATACTATAAACTGATTCATAATTCATAAACTAAGTTACTGGATCACTCTTAAAATTTAAAAATCAAATTTAATCAACAATAGTCTGGCATTACACTTTTGGAAAAATTGGCTAATCCTTAAGCAAAAGTTGCATTAATAAAACTAGTCAAATACTTGAATACTGCCAGATTTTAAATCAATTTAATGTTATTACCATTCTGACACCATTAACTCAAGAGTGTTTTGCAAAAATTTCTGCACTTAAATAGTAATAGGTAGTTGTTTATAAGTTATTGCTGAGTTCTTAGCATACATCCCAATGTATTTTATTAAATAAAATAATTTGAAATAGAAACAAAAATTCAAAAACCTTTTTTTCTTTTAAGTAATATCCTATTGCAAAGTTTCGATCTCCACTTTCTCTTTCAGACTGAAACCTAGGAAGAAAAGAAAATTACTCTATTTAGAAAATTTCTCTACTTATTTCATATAAGAGTATGATTGTTCTGTAGTTTAATTTATATAGCAAAGTACAGTATAAAGAACACTGACCTAAGAGTAAAGACTGCTAGGTTCTAGTCCCAGTTCTGTCAAACAGGCTAGCTATGTGTCTTGAGGAAGTCATTTAAGCGACAATTCTTGTAGCCTTAACTTTCTCAGCTGTAAAAGGACTGAAGTGAGGTACACCCTTTCTAATCTCCGTATTTTGTGAATAAAGAAGCTAATTTTAAAATTATCAAATATTCCACCATTAAAAAATATACTAAAAAGTTGCAGAATCTTCTGGATCCTCAAAAAGTATAATAATCAATTCCAACTGAGGGAATGCATGGAAATTTCACTGAGAGAGGGACAAATGAAATGGGCCTTTCAGCATCTGTTGGATTAACGGATTTCAGGGGGAAGCCTAGGCAGTGGCAAATTCCATGTAGCACAAAGGTAAAAAGTATAAAAGACAGAACTTCACTGAAGAATGGCACATATTCTGATGTATCTGGGAAATAGGGTTCATGGAAAAGAGTGGAGAAACATCGAACTAACAAGGGAGACTAGGACCACATTATCAAGACAGATAGATGCTAAAAATGGCTCCTGATTGCCAACAAAATGAAAGCTTAAAGGCTTCCAATCAAATTACCTAGTCAGATCTATACTTTGGAAGGATAACTCTAACATCAGTTTGGGAAAAGGGAAAAAGAAAGGATGAATGATGTTATTTGGAGACTGGAGTGTTAAGAGCCACTGAAAGCCTGAACTTAGGTAGTGGTGATAGGAATGGAAGAAGTACGATCAAACATGAGAGCAGTTCAGCAAATCTTCCAACCTGATGGGAAAGAGGAGAAACAGGGTGAATGAAGTCTGGTACAAAAGTCTAGATTTCTAATGCAATCTACTGAAAGGATCATGATATCAACTGATGGGAACCCTGGAGCAAAGAGCAGTTTGAGAAGAAAGAGAATGAGTTTTAATTTTAGACAGATTTAATTTGCAGTACATTTGAGAAATCAACCTACAAGTTTCCAGAAGGCTGCTGACAAGAGGAACCATGGGTGACACACTTTGTATTATCGATCATGGAGTTGGGGGTGGCAGTCCCCTCTAACTACACATTTTACAGTTTCTGTGGTCAGAAAAACAATGCTGAATGTGGAAAAGCTCTGGAAAATAAACTTGTCAACCTGCATGCCTTTAAAAAAAAAATCAACATAGTGCAATAACTACTCAGCAATGACCACAATGCCCAGCATTGGCTCTGTTCAACAAACACTAAATCAAGTGCCTATTATCTGCCAGGTAACAGGAATACAAAAGTGAACTGGAAGATACTCTATCCAGGTCTAACGGAGATCAGAGTCCAACAGCAGTGATGGGGCAGAGAGACAAAGAGTAAGCTCAATTAAATATGGTGATATGAGACCACAGAAGAGAGGTGAGATGTGATTCACGAAAAACTTCTAGGAAAAGATATTTAAGCAGATGAATAAGAGTTGGTACAGCAGAAAATTTTTGCCTCCTGAAACATGTAGTACAAAGTATCACCTAGTTAGTAGTCATGACAAAACTGTTTCAGCTTTATCTAACCACAGGAAACAACAGACCTATTCAAAACGGAAAATATCCACTATAGCCCATGGGCCAGATGTAGCCTGCTGCCTATTTTCATAAATAAAGTTTCTTGGAACACCACCTCATATTGTCTATAGCTACTTTCTTACCAAAACAGTAGAAATGAGTAGTTCAAAGAGTTTCTATGGCCCATAAGTCTGAAATATTTACTATCTGGTCCTTCACAGAGAAAGTTAGTTAATTCCTACTTGGTAAAAAAAGTGATTGGCACTCCTCAAAGAAAGCCATTTAATAAAATTTTATGAAGCAAGGGTTTAGGGCAGGGGGAAATCTTCTATTTCAATAAAGCAAAAGAGACAAAAATGCCTTGCAAGAACCTTAAGTAATTCCTGGGGAAAAAAGGCTATCATAGGCATTTAGGGGACAGTTGGGGATATTTATATACTGAAGATATTTTTAAATTAACGTTAGTGATCTTAAATTTGTTGATGGTATTGTGATTATGTAAGAGACTGTCCTTATTCTTGGAATATACACGTTGAGTTATTTAAGGGTGAAATGTTGTTCTATTAGTTCAGGAAAACAATCCCATCATAATCATGTATATTTATATATATGTACATATAGAGAGAGATACACGTTTTTAAATGCCTCTGTTTAAAGAAAGAGGTTGAGGAAAAGCAAATGAGACAAAATATTAATCAGAAAATATAGGTGAAAATATCCAGATATTCATTGTTTATTCTTTCAACTTTTCTGTAGACTAGCAAATTTCAAAATTAAAAAATTCGGGTCAAAGGCAAGTTAGCCAGGTAGAGAAACTGAGAGAGGTAAGACAGGGCACCTGGGTGGCTCAGGCAGTTAAGTGTCCAACTCTTACTTTCTGCTCAGTCATAACCTCAGGGCCATGGGAACTGACCCCGATATGGGCTCCTCGTTCAGCCCAGAGTCAGCTTGTCCCTCTCCCTCTGCTCCTCTGCCCCCACCCCAGCTCACACATGCTCTCTTGTTCTCAAAATGAGTAAATAAATAAATTCTTTAAAAAGAGAGAGAGAGAGAGATAAAACATGTATCACAGGCAAAAAGAAAACTGAATAACTATCAGCAATTTTTTTAAAAAGATTTTATTTGTCAGAGAGAGAGAGAACACAAGCAGGAGGAGTGGCAGGCAGAGAGAAGAAGGCTCCCTGCTGAGCAAGGACCAGGGTGAGGGACTCAATCCCAGGACCCTGCAATCTTGACCTGAGCCAAAGAAGCCACCCAGGTATCCCTAATTACCAGTAATTTAAGGTACAGTTGGGTTCCCTTCTAACTCTATAATTACCCACAAGAAGTTTATCAAAACTGTTTAAAGCATTTATTTACTCACTGAAGTAAACCCTAGGACCAACAAGGGAAAACAGATTAATTCTAAGTATATTGTGTATTACAATAGGGAAAGGGGTGGGAAAAGGAGGGAGAGAGGTGGGACAAGACAGCATTTAAAATAGAATTCTATAATCTAGTTACGTTTGTTAATTTAAAGAGGCCTGGCCTATTATAAAAAACTTAAGCCACAAATCAGACTCACGTTGCATTACTGAATCCAACATATTCATTGCCAGCCATCTTATTCAAAAACTGCATCACCTGTAAACCAAAATTAGAGAGTATTAGTCAAAAAACAAATATATAAGGAATATAAATATAGCACAAAAACTGAATTCCATATTGCACTTACATAGTCAAATTTTTCAGCATTATTCACTCCTTGCTGCAAAGAAATGAGACATAAATGTTAATATCGGCATCATCCCACAGTTAAGTTTTAAGTGAATATAGTACCAAAATTTCAAACTGCTATCATTATGATTAATATACTGTGCATTAGTACTTTTAACACTAGGAAATACTCTAAAATAATTTAATATTTACATAAACTTTCTACATATTCTTTTATTAACACCAATATGTTGAGAATGGATCTGAATTATAAAGGGAATGCTTTATTTTAAGTATATCTTTACCCAACCCAAAGTTACAGAATTTTAGTTACCCCAAGTTCCCTTAACTTTCAGGACAACACATAATATTCTAGAATGTATGTTATTTAATTTCATATTTAAAAAAAACTTAAAATAAAGTTTCACCCTTAGAAAAGAATTGAGTATTTATAAATTATGGTTTTCAATTTAGAACGATCTAATTTTTAAAATAACCTTAAACCAGTATTAGAGTTAGAAAAATGAGTTATGTTGCAAAACTAACTAAACTTTTATAATCCTAGTATATGCAAACATTCTGAATACATTCTGCTAATGTAAAGAAAGCTCTACCTTTCACATCTCAAATGTTTTAACAATACTTGAACTAAAAAAACATATATTCCATAGTCTCTAAGAAAATTAGCTACATTTGAATTTAGCATTATGCCAATTCAGAGCATGGAAGATGTATTGTTTCGTCACTGCTATTTCTGGGTATGTTAGCTACTGCAATGTCAATAGGAAAAACCTATGTAACGTAGAGCAGTTCAAGTAGCCAAATGGTTTCATTTTACCTCGGCGAAGTTTACAAAGCAGTAAGATGTAGATCTGAAATCAAACGTATTAATTGGTGATGTGCACCCAAAAGAAACAATACATCTCTAATTTTCAAAACAGGTTTAAAATAATTTGACAACTAAAAATTTTTAAACAAATTTCTTAACTTTACCCTCAAAAATTCTAAAACATTACACTTTCAAATTTTATTATGAGGGGGAAAATCTGTACCACAGAATTATTTAACTGAATAAAGCCAGGTTCATTCTCCACTTTACAAGTGGACTAGGATGTGGCTGATAATCCATGAAACCTTACAAATGAACTTATTTAAGAAAAGGATGTCAATCACATATACAGTCAGTAGCTGAAAAGAACACACTATTTCATCAAAATTAGGCATTAACAAAGCTTAAACAAGATAAGGATAATTTAGCTACAGCCATATTGTAATCACTAACTCTGTATTTTCTCTAAAGTGCCTTTTGACGTATTTTAAGTTTTCTTTCCTTATAATACACCAGAATTCAAAATGTAGAAATTTAAGTCCAAAGGTGTTCAATGAAAAATAATTAAAAGAAGAAATTACCAACTTCATTGAACTGTTGCAGTTGTCAAAATATTCCATAGATCCTAATGCTGTAAAATATGTAACAACATTTAAACCACAAAAACCTTTTTAACCTTTGAGAAAGCACAAAAAAAAAAAAACACAACTCTTTTGGAAAATGATGTCAGCATTTGCATTGGGATGTTACATGGGTAATCACCATTATACAATTAATCAATGTAAAATAGACAGGTTATACTGAACTTTCATTCTCTGACCTAAACTGTCCCTACAAAACAAATACAAATTTGCTTTATTTAGCTGTCATGTTTAATAAAAAGAACAGAAAAAAAACCTTTCAACTCTAGACGATGGTCACATGCTTGGTCTACTTTGCAGCTTACTAAATTAAAGCACAACTGAGTTTTGCTTCTATGCGGTTTTTAAAAAACAACTGATATTTACGAACATCAATCGTTATATAACATTTTGCATAAGCTATTTGAAATGTCCTAGGCAGATTATATAAACAAGCAAAATAAAGTATCTCACTGATTTTTGTTGACCCAAGAAAGTCTCTCCCCAAAACTTCCCCCACTTAAATGTAAAAGCACTTGCTTAATGTTTGCTCTTACTATCTACCCTGAAAACAGTATTTAAGTCAATAAAATATATTTGCCCCTGTATCTCTTGGGAGGATTCAGTGTATCTCAGGGATATATTTCATTACAAAATGTCAATTTCTAAAAACAAACAAACAAAAAACTGTATAAAGTTTATCTGCAAAGATGTGAAAGAAAAAGCACACATAAAAAATAAACTAGAGTAAAACCCCCAAAAGCAAAAATGTAAACTGTAAAAAAAAAAAAAATCCATCATCATTATCTAGTAGTGGGGTACAGAGGGGTGGAAGAAGAGATGTTATGAAAATCAGAAGCCAGGAATGGGTACATGGGGGCTAGTTATACTATCATGTTTATTTTGTATATGTTTGAAAAGTTGAAGAAAAAAATGTTTATTTGTTAATAATGTCCCATCTTAATTTACAGCTGTTACTTTCTACAGCTAAAATTAAGAAATTAAATCTTCCTATTTAAAATTTTCCGGATGTATGAGTTGAGAAATTTTGCTGACAACAGAGGAGTAGACTGAAATAGGAAAGGTTTTGTTAGAGCAATACCACTCGGCTCTTTACATGTAAGAGTCAACCCATCCTTAAAACTTAGACTTAATGCTCCTACTAACAGCTTGATCAGATCCTCTGTCCATTTTGTTGAAAGCAAAGACCTAGAAACAACCTCATATACAAAGGGTTGTTCCACTCTTTGCAATGATTCATATCCTCAATACCACTGACTCTAATATTTCAAAATGTTCTTTTTTGTTGGTGCCCAAGAGGTTTTTACAACCTAAAGCAGTGCACTAGAATAAAATTTGGGATGCATGACAAGTATGCCTTCTTATGAAAACTGGAAGGAAATATCTGGACCAAAGGCAGACTAATTTTAAGAAAGACACATATGAAAACTGAAATTTGGAAACTGACAGTCTTAAAACTATTAATGCCCCTTTATGTCTTGAAAAAGAAAATTCCCATAACAAGATTATGCTTAGCCCAGTTTTAAGTCACTCTACAACCATTATTAGATATGTTATTTTAATTCTAGAAAAAGTTATAGTGATACATAGTAAGTACATTAGGAAAACTAAAAAATAAATAAATAAATAAATAAATCGGAGAAAACATATTCACCAAATGAATTTTTTTTCTTTTGGTGTGTGTGAGAAAGTGTTTTTATTAAAGGAAGGGGACAGTCCTCATGGGCAGAATGAGCTGCATTGTAAGGAATGACTGATAATATACATTTAAATTGTGTCCGTGGGTAGAGATAAAGGACGTTTCTAAAGGGATTTTCATATGTTAAAAAAGACTTACAGGAACCTGGAGATCAAATGACTTTTAAAAAGCAAACCATGTTTTGTTTGAAAACAGTAGTAATGGGATCCAGAGACTAGAAAAGTATACAAACTAGTTTCTCTGTAAACATACCTACACTAACTTAAGGAATTTCCATTTCATTAAAGAAAACTTTATGAATGAAAATGTGATAAACAGGCACAGAGTTTTAAACACTGGCTGTTGGGCGCCTGTGTGGCTCAGTGGGTTGAGCCTCTGCCTTCGGCTCGGGTCATGATCTCAGGGTCCTGGGATCAAGTCCCTCATCAGGCTCTGCTCAGCAGGGAGCCTGCTTCCTCCTCTCTCTCTGCCTGCCTCTCTGCCTACTTGTGATCTCTGTCTGTCAAATAGATAAATAAAATCTTTAAAAAAAAATAAATAAAAAAAATAAACACTGGCTGTTAAAAGAATTAATGTAACCATGTTGGAGTGTTTTTATGCCTGTTTTTACAACAAACATACTCTTGAATTCAATTATGAATTATACACTAAAACACAGGTGAAAATATTACTGTTAACAGGGATATACGCTAATAAATTTAATATAAAAATGATTCATTTGAAGTCCATGCATTAATCAGTTATTTTGTAAGTAAATCATTTGATTTCATTCATAAAGTATGGAGGTGTAAAAGCAAATGGAAAATTAGCAATCGCAGAGGAAAGAGGCATAAAAGAGGCAAAAAGAAGTAACTGAAAATGACTTTATAGAATACTCTTAGTTTAATCTTGCCAAAGAAAATGCTTTAAAGCTAAATAATACTTGGAGGAATCACAGTAGATATTATAGGTAAAAAAATAATATTCTAACTCTAGTATTATCTAAATTAACCCTAAATATAAAAAGTTCTGTTGGCAATAAACTATTTGCCTTTCATTAAAAAAAACCTCAGGGACGCCTCGGTGGCTCAGTTGGTTAAGCAGCTGCCTTCGGCTCAGGTCATGATCCCAGCATCCTTGGATCGAGTCCCACAACGGGCTCCTTGCTCATCAGGGAGCCTGCTTCTCCCTCTGCCTCTGCCTGCCATTCTGTCTGCCTGTGCTTCCTCTTTCTCCCTCTCTCTCTCTGACAAATAAATAAATAAAACCTTAAAAAAAAAAAAAAAAAACCTCAAATAATTCAACTGATATAAACCTGGAGTGAATAAAACAATTAACACAATAAAATCACCAAATCCAAGGCATCACCCAGAGCTCCCCAGAGCCATAAACCACCTTAAAAGTGTGGCTCACAGGCACATCCAAAAGGTTGCTGCTAACATAACCAAACTGAGCACTACATACAGACTAACTAAATTCATCCTATTTTCATGGAGAATGATTGAACTATCTTTTAAAAAGAAAAAAAAATCTGATTTTTTTAATTTAAAAATATTTCTGATTTTTTAAAAAAAAAATCAGTCTTCTTTAAATGACAAAAACTGGAAAATACCACCAGAATAAGGAGAGACATAAATACAGAAGAGAATGTGACTTATGCTTTACCTTTAAAATACAAAAGCAGAATTATGGCAATTATATTGAAATATGTTGTCCTCGTTTTCCCACCCCAACTCTCAAGTTACCTGAAGATCTTAACTTTTAAACTAGGTGAAGTTTTTACCATTGCAAAGAAAAAAATTACATACATATACTGCTATTTCATCCAGAGTTAACTGTGCTCCTTTCAAATTTATTTTTACTCTTCCTTTTAAACAAAGCAACCATATTATCATCATCAGATAAAACAAACTGCATCAGAAAGTATTCCTTTAAACTTAGTAGTTACCGCAAAGAAAAAAAAAGGTATTAATTTTATAGTTGTTTAAATTATGTGCATTTTAAGTACAAAATGACATTTGGTTTTTTTGAAGGTATTTACCTATATAAGCTTTGTTTAAAATTTTAAATATTGGAGTTTTCCTATAAGTTTAGTAGTTAAGAATTTATGCAACAGGTTCCTTCTGTCCAAATCCTCCTTTTCCACAATCAGCTAATCCTTTTGAACATTTGCTCTGCCTCTTCCCCCATTTCCTGAGGATCATCTCCAATCCTACAAGGAAAAAATATCAATACTACAAAATTAAGAAATAAAGAGTCTTACTAAAGACTCTACTTAATTTTTTGGGGTGGGGTGGGAGAGGACTAACATGAGGAGAAGGTTTTAATAGCAGCACATAAAGTTGAAGTTTGGAAAAAAAAAAACAAAAAAACCATCCTTAACGTCATCAACTAAAAGAGCTAAAAAATAAAATTCACATCTAGTAGCCATGGTAAAATATCCACGCTTTGGATACTCAAATGCAAGCTCCCGAGAAAGCATTAGTTTCTTACAGATAGCAGGTACTGAATAATGTCCAAAGAATGACCATATTACACCCACTAAAAATCAGATGTGACTTTTAAGCCAATAAATTGTTATCTTTTGAGCCAGTTAAAATTAAGAAAATAAAATTCCTGCTTTTTGGACAATATAACCATGCTAGGTAGAGACAAAGATGTCACCAAGAGAAGCAGCAAACATGTACATTAAATATGGTAGAGTGAACTGTAATGAAGTGCAAACAAACCAGATTTAGCTCAGGCCCAGCTCTACTGCTGTCAATCCCTGTCTAGTCTCCATTTCCTCGCTGCATAAAGTAAGTAGGCTGAACTTGAAGGCCCTTTCAGCTACGGTTTTGTTACCTCAATTTCGATTACCAATTCATAAATATGTGATCGTACAAACTTCACAGATCACATACAGATTTTTAGAGGCGTTCTGAATTCTTTAAAAAAAAAAAAACAGTCTAATGAAATATTACATTCTGGGACAGTCAGTTTTACAGAGGGAGATGAAGCTTACCCCTCCAAGACCTAGATGAACTTCATTAAAGAAAGAGAAAGAAACTTGTGAAACACTTCTAAAAACAAAACAAACATTCCAAGAAAGTGACTTTAAATATGAACTATATCCCAAAGCCTCATTTTCAACTTTGCCAGTAAATTAAAAATGTTTATATATTTAAAATCACTGATCAAATTTATAAATACAAGATGACTCAGTTAAACTTTTGCACTGTTGGACACTGAACCACATTTATGTTGTGTATATGCGTTTTTTTTCACTGTTTCATATTAATGTGGCTCAATGTGACTTTTATGGCTCATGACTGCACATGAGAAGTGAAACGGAGGAAGTGATGCTATGATGTGACCAGACATGCATTTACATGCAGCATTTCAGCATAGTATATGAAACCCATGAATCATTAAACAAAAGATGTTTAAATGCATGCAGTTAAGGAAAGCTTCCTTTAATCATTTATACATGCCCTTTCCTGAAAATATTACTGGTGTGCTATGTTACTCTTTCTCCAATATAAGAGTTCTTCAACTTGGACTCACAGATCAGCTTCGAAGGGTCTGTAAACTCCTTAGTTGATATAAAATCATCATTAAGTGAACATTTTTCTGGGAAGACCCAAAAAGGTTTAGAACCATTCTAGTGGTTTTTCTCATCAAGCAAGCACTAATACATAGGTTGTGTTATTATAACTTTCCTTACCTCTAATTTGTTACTTGTTCAAATCTAAACAATTATTAATGAGACTTTTCTCTCATCGCAGTGTTCACTGAATTTCATTGTAAGGACCCATTTATACTTGTGTCCATCTCACACTACAAGGTAAGCAAACTACCTGAAGGAAGGACTGTGGCTAGCAAAGATTTGTATTATAATTTTCTACAATAAACAAATATTCTTTCACCTCAAACTGACAACTTTTATCTTGGGTGAAACAGTCACGAATAGCCAAATATTATAATGGGCAAAATAAAAATTTCCATAGTCTTCTAAATGAATTACATTAAAGAATAATCCTTGGCTATAATACCTACCTCACTAGAGTTACAAGGATTAAGTGGACCAATGCTTACAAAGTATTTGTCCTAAGATAACAACTAAACATACATAATTCTTATGACAGTAGTCTTCTATTTGAAAGCCTTTTCTCACGAACATATAAAATTTATGAAAAAGGATTTCCAGTACAGAAATTAGGTATATTTTTATTAAATGGGCCAAAGGCCCAAATATTCTTTATGTAACCAGGGTATCTCATCCTCACTAAAGCATCTACAAAGCCATGTTGTTATGTTTTTTTATGCTTGGAAGAGATAAACACAGATTCACTGAAGAAAGTATACAAGTGTTCCAAACATAAATGAGATTTATTTGAATATGAATGAAATTTATAATTAGAAATTAAAAATCTAAACAGTATCACACACTCAAATCATTTTCAAATACTTATTCCAAACAACATTAGAGCTTCCAATTATTAAGGCAAACCAGACACTAAAACAATCAAAACATATAATGTAAAACGATACATAAGAAAAATAATATAACTTAATAATTGGAATAAGTCTTACTTATTTTAGTTATGATAATAAGCAAAACAAATGAAAGAAGTTTAAATGAAAATCATGAATGTAGCTCCTGAGGGAGTAGTAGGACTTCGGAATATTCAAGGGTAAATGTACTTTGTCGTAACACAAAGTACCAAAAACATTTGTTCCTACAGATGCTGATGACAAACGGTTAACAGAAAATGCTTTTAACTGTGTTTACATCTGTTTATTTTCCAAGAGCCAAAAGGAAAGGGAAGAAAAAAAATATCAAAACTTTAAGAAGAAAAACCTCTGTGCCTATTGTTCAGCAGAGACTTCTTTTTGAATTTTTGCCAGATCTTCAGGTCAAGGGTAACTGAGTAACTCTACAGTGAGTCATCTGTTTTTTAATTCCGTCCTTGAAACTGTATTATTTATTTTTAAATAAATAAGAATTTTAGTTTTATACCATAAGATTTTTTAAAAAAACTTTTCATAGTTCTACATAAATAATCCAAGATTCATCTTTATGCCTTAGTTATTTTTAAAAACTTACTAGGTTAAAAGGAATTGTCAACATTTTACCTTTATTAATGAAGTCACAACAATTGCACCAGCATTTACCATAGGATTGTGTGGCTTATCTGTAAAATATAAAAACAACAGCATCGTTTCAAATACTTGATATCATTTCCCATGATGCATAGGTATTTCCTGTGAATATATATCTATTTTCTTTATGTAAGATATCGTTAGTCTTTTTTTTTTTGGCAGGGGGAAGAGAGGGTGAAAGAATGCATTTAAGTCATTTACTTATCAAACCAATAATATATTTCTATAATAATTATATAGGAAAACAAAGATTCATATGTATTGAAAGACAGTGAATAGCAGTATAAAAGTACATTAAAATTTCCTAACTCTACCATTTCCTAGCTATTTGACTGTATGCAAGTAACTGAACTTCACTGTGCCTCAATTTTCCCACTGTATGTTGGGAGTAATAAAGAACATCAACACCTCAGTGAGTCATAATTTCTGCATGAAGTAAAACACATGAAATGCTTAAATGTAAATGGCACACCCTTATGCACTCAAATAATGTTGTTAAAAAATAACCTTGAAAGCAGCACATCTAGTATGAAACCACTTTTGCTTTTTAAAATGCCTTATTTTGGGGACACCTGGGTGGCTCAGCTGGGGTCGGGGGTCAGCCCCGCACTGGGCTCCCTGCTGGGCTTCTTCACCTTCCACTTCTGCCTACCGCCTGCTTACTTGTGCTCTTTCCATCAAATAAATAAAATCTTTTTTTTAAAAGTGCTTTATTTTTGTTTTTATGAATACACACATACATATGCAGAAAAAGAAAACACAAACACTATAAAGGGATATACCTATGATAAAAAATATTACATGGGATTTAAATGATACTCTTTATTTTTCTGTATTTCCTGACAATAAAGATGTATTTATCTTAAAAATACTTAAAATTGAAGTTCATCCAAAATCCTATCTCTTTTAATTCTTAGAACAAATAGAATTTCAAATCTCAACTGATTACCCTGTCATTCATGGCATGGCACAAATGCCAAATATTAACGCCTTAGGACATTGAAAACATTTATCTGAAAGCACAATTCCTAATTTATCTATTTGTGGTAGTGATTTATTTTGGGGGGAACAAATTCTTATCTAACTTGATAATCCAACAGAATTCACTTACTGCATAATTACTATTGTCCTTAAATTTTAAGCAAGTTGCCTTCTATAAAATTAATCTATAACTAAATAACTCTGAGCTCTGGAGAACAGCCTGGCAGTTCTTCGACAATTAAACAGTTTCCATATGACTGAGCAATTCCATTTCCAGGTATATAACCAATAAAAATAGAAATAAATAAATACGTGCACATGAAAATTTGCAAACCAATGCTCACAGCAGCATAATACGTAATAGTCAAAAGGCGAAAAACAATTTAAATGTCCTGTCAACTGATGAATGTCTAAACACAACGTGATTATTTTTATTGTGGTATTATTACCCATACAACGCAATGTTATTCAGCAATTTTTTTTCTAATTCTACTAATCATTGTCTTGTTTTATGAATCATAAATAGGAGAGTATCGGGGTTGTTTTTTATCATTATTTTGTTATTATTTTTATTAACATAAAATGTATTAAATTAAATGTACCCAGGGGTAGAGTTTGTGAATCATCAGGCTTACACACTTCTCGGCACTCACCATAGCATATACCCTCTTCAATGCATTTTTTAAAAAGCAAAGTACAGATGCAATCTACCACGTGAGAGCACTTTAATACTCTAAGTACAACAGGCCAGTCATAAGACCAAATATCATATGATTCCATTTATATAAAATATCCAGAACAGGCAAACCATCTTTTTCTTTTTTAAGAGAGTGAGTGAGCAAGCGGGGGATTGGGGGGTACAGGGAGAGAAAGAATCTTAAACACACAGGGCTGGGTCTCAGACCCTGCGATCACGATCATGACCTGAGCAGAAAAAGTCATGACAGAGCCACCCAGGCCCCCCGAGCAAGCTAATCTATAGAAACAGAAAGTAGATTACTAGTCACCAGGGAAGGAGAGAAATGGATACTCACTGCTAATAGGTACAGGGTATCATTTTGGGCAAAAGTGTCCCAAAATGGATTATGGTAATGGCTGTACAACTCTATTAATACACTAAAAGCCACTGAACTCTACACTCTAAATGGGTGAATTATATGGCATGTGAAGTATCTCCCAATAACACCATTAATTTTTTTTTATTTAAAAAAAATAAAGACAGAATATTAGGTGATTGACAGTTTACTAGTTTCCCCTCAATATAAGATCAACAATGTGATTTAGCAGCTATGGTTTAAACACTGTACATTTTGGGTTACTCATGATGATGATTAGCTCCAAATGTTAAAATTTAGTATAGTATCAGAGTATTTACAATTAAGAGTTGACCTATCCCAAATCTCACTAAGAAAAGTCTGCCTTCTCTAGGTCACACAAAATGAGAGCAACTACTGTCAAAGAAAAGTACTACGTGGCAAGAGGGAGCCAAGAAACAAAAATTTCCAATATTATTCACCTGGAAAAAAAAAAAAGATACAGACAGAAAACAATACAGAGATCAGCCTGTGCTACATTAGTTTATATTTATGTTTGTGTAGCTGTTTCTGTGTGTGCCCTTTCATGGTTTTTTGACATTATCATGTTTAGGCTCTAGGGCCTTTAGGAGGCAGCTAATGTGTATATTCCAATGGTAACACATAAATGTGTGCATTTAATATTATCTAAATTACAAATATTCTGCAAATATCACATCAGCTACATTCAAGACGACCTTTCAAAGAACATTAAACCATTTCATGGCATGACGCTGCAATTTTCAGATGTAAGCAACTGCTCTCTCTGCCTTTGGCTCAAAAGCCAGACACCTCAATGTTTGGAAATATACCAGATACTATAATATAACACCAGCATTACTGCAATCTAAAACCTCAGTCTAAAACCTATGACTATAAAATCTACTTGCTTCCTGCTCCACTCTAGGTAGGAGGGGAGAATTGAAAGGTTCTATTTAGAACTTTTATTTAAAAAATACTCATGACAGCAGAAATAACACATAAGCTAATTAATAAAATCTACCATCTGAAGTAATGACAAAAATTAGCTTGGTATAATGATAAAATGGACAAGGGCAACATGTGAAATTTAGGAGCACTTTTAACTAGAATGCACAAAACTGTTTAATTTTAGCCAAGTATTTATTCTCCAAAGTGACAAAACATGCATTATATTACACTAGCAAAAGTTCTCCAACTGCTAAGCATATGAACCTTAAAAGGTGTGGATCATAACTGAGGCTAAGTCAAAGGTTGCTAATGTACATACTAAAGAACTAAAATGTATTAATTTCAGTTTGATACGGATACTTATATTTTAAGTATTACACTAGAATTTTAAAGGGCAATATAAAAATTAAAGTATATTCTACATAAAGTTTAATTCTGCATTGCCCACTTACCCAACCACCCAAACTTTGTTCTTCCCATATAAAATTCAGTCCTGTCTTCCTCATGTAAATTAGTTCAACACCTTTCTTTCTCAAATCTTTCACAATATAAACCAACATATATATTTTGGCTTCTGTAAATTACACACTTGTAAGATAAGAGTTTATATTTTGTCTGCATGTATTAGATAGATGTATAACTGTTGCCATATCCTTTAGTATTAGCTACCTAAGTTACTCAAAGAACCAACATCCATTTACCCTGCATAAGCTGTTAACAATAGAGTGGAAGAAGGCTCTGTAAGTATTTGTTAATTAATCTAATTTCTACTCTAAGATAGAAAAAGACTTCACTAGGTGACAGCTGTTTTCAAAAACTGATTATCTCCATCAAGTAAGTAACCTACTTCTTGACAGAAAGTATCAGACCAACTCTCCACCACAGCACTAAAATGTTTTTATGTTGTTAGAACACTGTAAAACTACTGATGTTAAAAGAGTACTGTAATTTTTTTATTATGTTCACATTAATCTTAACTTACCACAATCTTACAAAGCTAGAAGAATATAAACACAAATTTTTTTTAAAATTTTATAATGCTAGATGCACAGACACATGCACATATATGAAATGTATAGTTTCATCATAAATCTACCCTTGAAGTTTTAAGTATGAAGAAGAAGGATAAATTGTTTTTATCTTGGGCTAGTTTAAAACCAAAACTTTAGAGCAAAGAATCTATGCAGAAGTGGCACAGTGAGGCCTTCATTTTCCCGTTACTTCTGAGACTCCTGGACCGGCTTGGAAAAAAAAATCAAAGAACATCAAGGTAAAACCTCTTGTTAAACTTCATATTTCAATTATAAACCAGTGCTAAATCCCTAAGTTTTTATGATTTTTTTCTTATAGACTACTGTGTCAGTAAATTATAATTTTATTTATTTATTTTTTTTTAAAGATTTTATTATTTATTTATTTGACAGAGATCACAAGTAGGCAGAGAGGCAGGCAGAGAGAGAGGAGGAAGCAGGCTTCCTGCCGAGCAGAGAGCCCGATGTGGGGCTCGATCCCAGGACCCTGGGATCATGACCTGGGCCGAAGGCAGAGGCTTTAACCCACTGAGCCACCCAGGCGCCCCAGTAAATTATAATTTTAAACTCATAAAGCTACAGAGCAAAAAAAAGTATTACTTGTAATGTTCATTTATTCCATGCCCATTTTATTTCTTTGTGTTTCTCAAATATTTCTTCACATTTGAATTCCTGTATTTGTTCATTTCTATTCTTTAAATACCTCTCTCAAAGCCAATCACAATTCACCAGAACCACCTAGATTATTCTATTTTGGCTTACATGGAAAAATATTAATTTTTCCTATAAAATGCTCTATCTTGATAGAACAAAAATACTAGTTATTCCCATATTAAACCTGGATGTCAATGGGCTTAATAAATAAGGTTCTTCTGCATATGATGACCTTATTGAAATTGTTGGTTTATGATAATGTCCATAAAATCAACAGCAGCATCAGGACAGAAAGACTATGGTGAACTAAGTAAGAAAATATAATTGCTCTCAAAACAAATAGAGAAGCACAAGAAAATATCATTTTTTTTCTTTTAACTTTTATTTATTTTAGAGAAAAAGATCGCAGTGGGGAGGGGCAGAGGACAAGCAGAGAGAGAATCTCAAGCAGACTCCCTGCTGACCACAGAGCCCCACTATGGGCTCAATCCCAGGATCTTGAGATCATGACCTGAACAGAAATCAAGAGTTGGATGCTTTACTGGGTGACGCACACCCAAGCACCCCAAGAAAAGACCATTTTTATAACTTCATTAAAAAAACAATAACAAGTATAAGGCACATTTCATTTTTATCCAGCACAAACAAAAATTGCAAAAGTGTACTTGTCACAACCATTATTGCAACCATTAAACTCCTTCACTCTTTCTTTGATTCTAAATCTTCACTCACCACGAAATGAGCAACACAGTATATGTCAGAAAGACTGAAATATAGAAACCAATATATAGGTTGGTGTTTAGAATTAAAACTTCTATCAGAAAACAACAAGCAACCAAACCAAAAAAAAAAAATGTCTATCAGGGGTGCCTGGGAGGCTCAGTTGGGTAAACATCTGCCTTTGGTTCCGGTCAAGATCTCAGGTACTGGGACTGAGTTCCGCGTGGGGCTCCCTGCGCAGTGGCGAGTCTGCTTCTCCCTCTCCCTCTCACCCCACTCATGCTCTCCTTCTCTTTCTCAATAAATAAAATCTTTAAAAATAAATAAATAAAATAAAACCTCTATTAGATCAAAAGTACTACCTTTGTCCTCCCCCTTTGCTTTTAAATTCCTATTAAGTGGTAAGATTTGTTAGTTATCCAACTATTTAACATGTTTCTTTCAAATATTAAATGTTATGTAAAAGAAAAAGCAAAAATATTCATTATTATAACCACAGCCACTATAAAAACTTGTTATGCTGGAAGTTTTCAAATATATATGAAATACAAAAGTAGAAAGAATAAACATAGATGTAGGCATCTAAGTTAGCCTCAATAATTACCAACATACAGTAATAATTCATACCCAGCACTCCCAACTATACTCACTGAATTATTTTACAGCAAATCCCAGACACTGTAAGATTTTATTACAAGACATTCTCCTATATGTGGTTAGGAGTGAAACAGAAATCTTACTCCCTGCCCCATCTTCTCTCTAGTCCTAAAAAATATATATACATTTTTAAAAGTAGGTGATTAAACAAACTATGTCTATGGGTTTAACAGAAATTCCATGAGAAATGAAAAAAAGTACAAATGTTTTTAATTTTCTTCAAAAATATTAAAAAATAACTTCTTAGATTTTTTTTTTCTGAGGTTCTATTTATTTCTTTGTCAGAGAGAGAGAGCACAAGCAGGGCAGGTGGCAGGCAGAAGGAAAAACAGGGAGCCCGATGCGGCACTCACATGACCTGAACCGAACGTAGACACTCATCGACTGACCACCCGCGCATCCCAACTTCTTAGATTTAAATAGGAAAAAGGGGTATTTCTTTTTCGAACTTTTATATTATTCTTACCATCTTCATTTAAAAACAGTTTGTTGAATCTTAATCCACTTGGCTCTTTCCCAACATATCGATGAACATATTCTGTTCCAAGATCATTAACAGCAATGGCATATTTCAAAGGTTTTACACATGACTGAAGACAAAACGGAACTTTGGTATCTCCAATAGAATGCCTATTTAAAAGTAGATTTAAAAAATAATTAAAATCAACTGGAAAAAATATTTGAATAACTGGAGTTATTTTTACATTTTAATTCTAATTTATAAAGGTTTTCCCGTAATTTTACCACAAGTTTACTTGGATATTAAAGAATAAATATAAATTTTTAAATGCTGCAAAAAAGGGCAAAAGCTTAAAAGTACACAAGTAATAATATGGTTCAGAATTAGATAATAAATAAGTAATGTGAAAATTTTCCTCTGAGGCTAAAAGGGTTTGGCCCTCCTTACTCCTACCAGTATTCAAGCATATAAAATGAACTAACCCTTTTAGAAATCAGTCACCACTTCACCCATAGGTTTAATCATGGCTACACAGTGGTGGTTAGTTTTAAATAGGGCTCAGTTTGGATCTCACTCTATTCTCTGAGACCTTGTCCATAAACACCTTAGCCTGTGAACCATATCTACTCACAATTCCAGCCCCGTTAAAATAAACAGCACCAAGTTTTGTAAGCTGTATTAGAGCTGGCATTAATGGCATTATTATTACCACGTATCCAAACAATAGAACAAAAAGAAAGCTCTATATGTTTCCAAACTGGGATGTAAATGAAGTACAAAATAGGTTTAAAAATGGAAAAACTGACTGACTCTATTATAATGTAAGGGCAGAGACCTTTCTTTTATTTACTGGGATCCCAGGTGCCCTGAACTATGCCTCAACACAAACCAGTCAATCATTCATTCAGAGTGAAACTCATTCACAGTGAAACTGGACACTACTAATAACCGCCCCTCGGCAAAAAAGGCAAAGAAAAGGCAAAGAAACACCAGAGGGCCAGCCACCTTACTTCCAAGTATATTATGGAATATAAATACATATGAATAGATAGTAAAAGTATGTAATATTCTTCCTATCGTGTTTAGGAATAATTTCTAATTCAGACTATAACTTCAACTTGATAATCATTCTTAAAACCTGACAAGAGCTTGTCTTATTACCTTTCATTTAAAAATACATATGTTCTAGTCCAAAGTCAACTTACCTAAAAGAATCATTTCCACACACAGAGAATGTTTAAGAGAACAATCACATGCACACCTTGCATTATAATCATTTCCTCCAAATATAAAAATTTCCTTTACATGATAAACCATTTCCTCCAAATACAAAAACAAGGTATCACTCTGTACTAGAATAAAGCCATGTCTTCCCATGTATTTGTGTCCTTTTATAGCACCCAACATTTAATTCAACACACAATTAATGGTTAGTACATCTTACAGGCCCAAATGAGAACAAAAGCCTGTGATAATGGAGAGAATAACATACTAGAAGTTAAGAGACCCAAGTATTTGTTTTACCTCTGCCAGTATTAGAGGAATTTTGGGCCTCAGATACCTTAATAATAAATGGGCTAAGTCATAGGTCTTTTTACTGTAAATACTTGAGGAAGATAGTTGGTAAAAAATAAAAAGATAACTTAGAAAGAAGGTATTTAAGATTGAAAATTATAAGGCTAAACAACTTGTAGTTTTAACAAAATTTAGGATAAAATTAATCACTGATATAAATTCATAAAGCTATGTGCACTTAGGAGATGTACACCTTGGTTTATGTAAGTTATATTTTAATTTAAAAAAATACTTTAGTAAAAAACAAAAGGAACACAAAGATTGTAACTCTGAGCTAACCCTTCAAATTAATTAAAAAAATTGAATTTTCTGGCATGATTTTTCTGACTTGACAAAACCAAATTATAACATGATAAGAAATCCTTATATCTTATTCACAGCGTAATAAAAAGTCATTCTTGAAAAAATATTCCAGAATTTTATCAACTTTTCAAGGGCCTCACATGATTCATTGATTTTAAAACCAAATCATTCTCTTTGAAGTGCCTTCACACATCATTATCCTTTTTATAATTCTGCTAGAATGTCATTTGTCAATGGCTCTGCCTACAGCATGAGCACTTCCCAAAGATCGCTTTCATGGACTTATGAGACCCCGAGAGTTTGCGCACAACTTCTCACTTTGCAAGTGACAAAAACCAACTACTGTAAGACTGTACCGTCTTAACTACCACATCGCTCATATCTAGGGCATGAGCAACAAAGACAATGAGAGGCTGTTACTGTTAAACTAAGAAACAGAAACCAATTCTATTAGTGGTCAGTTCATTAGTGAATAATTTCATGTTTTGACAAGTCTGCTTTCCCTAAGAAAACTGTAATTGCAAGTACTTGAAAAATAAATACTCAAATAACAAGACTACAATTGTGAATGAGATGAAATACCTCATAAAATTTAGTGTAAGACTATTTTAGTTGAGTTTTTAAAAATTAAATTAAAATCTAAACTTATTTTCCTTCTTGAATTCCTGTCATGTTATGGCTAGTTTCCAACACAGAAGATGATCCTGTCTCCCTTGTGCTCACTGTTAAGTAAAATTCAAAGCTTAAAGTTGGTTTCCATGAATTTGAAATAAACTCACCTCTGTCCATCTACTGTACACACAGACACACCCCACAAATCAGGACTGAACTTGGCTAGCTGAGGAATATAATCTGCAACCTATACAAAATATTGGGAAAAAAATTAACAGAATACAAGCAAATAATATTTCTTCTACCAAAAAATTCATCTTAATTAAGCTTCCATGAATAAAGAGTTATTTTATACTACTCAGTGGCTTTGTGGTTTATCTTTTATAATTATATTCATAAAAACTAAGGGCAGAAGAGAGTTGAGGATTACAGGTAAGATCTAACTGACTTCTCTCAGTCTCCCTCGTCCCATGTTTTCCAATGCATTCTCAATTCCTAGAGAATTGAGAAAAGCACATTCTAAAAGAGAAACTAAAAAAAAAAGAGAGAGAGAGACTAAGACTAGATTTTCTTTAAACGTAAAGAAATAGAACTTCTTTAATCAAAGTCATGGTAGCAGGGTTTCATTACCTAAAAACTTTCAATACAGAGAAAAAATCAAATAGCCCTTAGTATTTTATTTAGAGAATTTTCCAAATTTAATGTTTGAGAGTATCACATTTACAGAAATTCTTAATAAAGTTACTCTTTTTTTAAAGAGTTAAAAGCCTTTTCCATCGTCTGAAAATCAAAAAGAATTCTTAAACTTAAGATTTCTCTGTAGCCCTAATAACAAAACTGAATATTTAAAATATTTTAAAAGATTTAATCCAGTAGCTTCACTTAAGCTTAAACTTCTTTTTTTTTTTTTTTCATTATTTAGAAGGCTTAAACTTCTTAACTAGCAAAGCACACGAAAACTCCACAACCTGAATTTCTATACCTCAATTTGAGCTTAATTAAGTGACTGGTTTAGGAAAATATTCACATCAAAAATTTTACCTTTCCTCCAGACTGCTTTTTAGCACTTTCAAATAACTCATCAATGTGAGAGGTAAAAGACATAAAGTCAGGAATGACAAACTTTCTTCTAAAGGCTTGTGTCAACAAAACGATGTTGCTCTGAACACATCTGTGGAATGTAAGAAAAAAATTAACTTACTGGGTGCCTTTCAAATATTAGTAATTGGTAATAACAATATTAATTAGGAGAATATTTAAACAATTGAGAAATTTGTCATTTTATATAACTAAAATCTATAAATTATACTTTCTATATTATTTTCTTTCCTTCAAGCAGTCTTTCATGAAGTTGCTTGTAGGCTGTTGAGCAAATTTAAGAAATAAATTAGATTGCCTAAAAATTGTGTCAAAGATTAAAAACCAGAGTGTTCCACCAGGTTAAATATCAAGAGCATCTAAAGACAAGTTTCTTATGCTCATCAGGGTTAAGCATTCAGCATGACATTTCGTTAACAAAAATTGGACTTTAATATGTCACAGTTGAGAGCCTGTTTATTGATCCATTAAGTAACTGCAGACATATATCCTTAGTTCCTATATAACTATTAGTAGTATTTCACAAAAAACTAAACTTTTTATATCTTAACATATTTTCTCTAAATTAGTGTGAAAAATCTGTATTTCCAAGCTAACAAATAGAGATAAAATCAACTTTATTTAGTCAGATTAGAATAAAATACTTGTAACAATAATGTATAATTTTAAATAAAATTATATATAAAGTAGTACAGTAATTAACTTTTACTTATATGAATCACCAAAAATTTGAAATCACATTATTCTATTCACTATAAGATATGTAATACACTATGGAATAAAAGGTCTCATTGTTAAAAACTATTTATAAAGATATGGTAAACCATGTGGATGGGAGAGCATGAACTCTGATGATTTGAACCAATATTCTGCTATGTTCGAAAAAGGATTTAAGCCAGAAAAATCAATATATTAATGTAACCTTAAAGAAGAGCTTTTTAAATAGGTTACAGTGAACCACCTTCTAAGCTCATCCTCTTAAGAGTCTCAGTAATGTGGTAAGAGAAAGTTAAGCCACAAACTACGGGAAGTTATGTAACTTGATTCCTCACAGGTAAATGATGTGATACTATATTAGCTTCTTTGGGAGGAGAAAAAAAAACATCCAAATTGGCATTCTTCATAAAAAGTAAGCTTCAACTACTCTTCATCTGTTCAACCATGAGAACATCAACATTTTGAGAAAGAGGATTTCCTTACTTTAAAGATAAGAGAACTACCTGCAAGTAAATAACTTGCATTAACTATAAATACAGAAACGAAGAACTAGACACTCAGTATTTCTTTTTTAGTTTTTATATCTCAGTATTTTAATTATAATAGTTCCAAATGAAACATCAAATTAAAATTAAAAGTCCGATTTCACTTTTAACTATTAATAAAAAATTCAGAGATTATACTCACTTGGTCAGTATAAAATTAAAATACTGATTTAAAATAATATAGGTTATTTCCAATGACAAAGATGTACCCCAGTCACAACATGAAAAAATTATAGTCCTAATTTCTATTATTAATAGACACAGAAATAATTGACATCCCAGAGATAACAGATATTTACTTCAATATCAATAATTCAATGAATTGTTTTCTCATAGTTTCAAAGTTAATCTAAAAATTAAGTATGCCAATGATTTAATATTTAATGTTTTAAATAGCAATTTAATTTGCACATATGAGAGTTGTAAGAAATATATACTAAAGAACACATTTCTCAGTAGGAAAAAGTTAAGACAATTTCTGATGTTAAAGCACTGTATCTGTATCAAACTTAAATCCCAATTTTTCAAGAAGTTATACATGGAAAAATATAAGGACTACTAAGCAAACTTAAATTATTAACCTACTACTAACTATTTAACTATTTAAAATTAATCAGCACTTTTAAAAGGAAGCTTTATAATTAACAAAACTCTATAGTCAGTGAAACTGGTTTGTTATTGTTTTTCCCTCTATCAGAAGGTGCTAGTAAAGCTGTGGAACTGACTTCACTGGTGAATTACTGTGCAAAACACAAACAATCTTACCACACAAGAAAGTGTTTACTGCAAACTGATGAAAATTACATGTACTAAATGTTTTAGTTGGGAGCTATTTGAGTATACATGTCATGAATGGAACTAGAAAATTAGAAGTTCTACATAAAAATGAATTCTGAGAAGGAAGTGCTCAGACTTTCCAGCAAGTCACAGCTTTCTCATGCTTTGGCTTGCTCATCTGTAAACTGGGAATAATAATCTTTCTTCTTAAATGTTTATGATTAACAACTATAATGCACATGTTTTAGAAAGTATCTCCTAATTTTCATCAGTAAAATAACATAATGGAGATGAAGTTGTTTAAAAAAATCAATATACAGATACAAAGACTACCATTCATTTTCCTCTAAAACCGAAAAGACCAAAAAATCATGATCACAGATAAAAATAGTTCTAATATCTGTATAGTTAAAAATGCATAAATAAATAAGGCATTCGTTTTCAACACAATTATCTACTTCTATCAGTTTAAAGGATTATTGGCATTAAAAACAATTAATTATCTAGATGGGTACAGGCAGTCTCCAACTTTCAAACAGATTATATTCCAAATAGTATGCTTAGAATTCACTTTCCCTTAAAAAAAAATCCTATGTAATCATTGTTGCTCAGATTACCCTCAAAGGCTAAATAATATTAACCAACAACATTTTCTGGTAAAATTATCAACACACTGACTTCAACCAAACCTATCCACCTTTATAAATTATTTCCCTGAGAAAATTAATTCACTGTAATATCTCCTTCCCATCAGCATGGAGAGGAGTTAGTTTATTTAAGCAACATTAAACTAGAAAACTTCTTATTTTGAAAAAGAAAAAAAGAAAAGAAAGAAAGAACCTCTCTGGAGCATTCACCTTTCTAGGTGACCTCAAAAGGTTATAGTCAGAGGTTTGAATTACTTCATTCGAGAGATGAAAAGAGAAATTGTTACACCTATACGTGGAGACTTTTCCATTGCCTGCTTATATAAAACACTAAGCATTTGTCAAGTTAGGAACTGACTGTATTACAATCATCAATTTTTTTAAGAAATTGGATTAGTATTTAAAATATGGTAATTGCTATTCTTTTATATAATTATAGGCAGAAAATAATATGATTATGTTTCCTGGCTTCATAATCAGTATACTTAGTTTACTTTTAATTTCATATTTAAACATAGCAACATGTTTATAAAGCACAAAAAATTTTAAACAGACTAAAAATGTATAAAATACTGCTTTCATTTAAAATTCCAAAGCAATTCCTCATACCTATTATCAACAGATCTACCTACCACCTCTTGACAATTTCACTCTCAGGTACACTAAAATAACTCTTTAGAAGGCGCCATAATCAAGAGTACTTTGCTCGGAGAGTTCATGAACACTAAAACGAATCCTTACTGCAAAGGCACAGCTAACAAATTATTTCCTCCCCTCCACAAAGAAACATATTTCAAAGATTCAAAAATCTTACCACTAATTCTAACACGAACCTAAAATTTATACTTTATAAGGTCAGCTGAGTTAACAGAATCAAGAACCTTTGTGGTAAAAAGACAAGAATCCAAAACTGTCAGCAGTGCTTCACAGCATGCCAGGAAACTCTGAAGGACTTCAGTTAAACACATACCTTAAAATGACTTAATACCTAGGATATTTCCAGGAGACATCTAGGACAAATCATCAAGTCCCCAAAAGAAAATAAAACTAAACAAAAATACATACATACATACATAAAAATAAGCTTTCAAGGTAGATGCTAGAATTCTTTGCATCTATCTCAACTTACCCTATCGTCTAGAAAAAGCCAATGTGTTACAGTAGTGTTTACAGTTTTATACTGGTTTTTACCTAACTCTTATTAGTTTAAAATGCCATTTACCTCTTTGGGATCCATTATAAACATGCTATCTTTTAAACCATTAAGAAATCAGACAAGTAGGAAGACATTAATGAAGATAAATACTAAACAAATAGGCAAATATAGGAAAATCAAAATAAGCATGTTCATTCAACCAAATCAAGGTATTAATCTCTAAAGCATTTTTAGTTTTTAAATATTTTCAGGGAAATAAAAGCAGTCAAAAGCCCAGGTATCAATATGTCTGAAGAGAAAAGAGAAGCAGACAATGGAGATACGTAAATCTAAGGAACACATGCTGTCTGAAGCCTTCTCATTTTATGATGTCAACTAAATCACCTTGTAGGAAAGAAACAGAGACCATATTCAAAAAGCCTGTAAGACATGCAGAAGAACTGGAGATCAGTTTGTGACAAGCCAGAGTGTGCTCTATTCAAACTGAATGCAATCTCCATATACTGTAAATTGGAAACATCTACGCCTACATTTCCTTAGAGTAGTTTCAAAGAAAGTCTACTCTTACACCCCTGTGCATCATAGAACCTTATGTGCACCACCTCTGTCAAACAATTGATGTTTATAAATCCCCCCTTCTTTCCAGTTACACAAGAAGCACGGGCATTCAAAGATGCAGTTTTGTTTTAAAAGAAAAATCACCATATAGCATAGCAAATCACCATTAAAGGTTTGGCAGAATTTTTTACTTTTTAAAAAGATCTTTGTCTAGCATGACACCATCTGATGTTGTTTGAAGAGTTAATCTTAACATATCCATACACTCTTTCAACCTGGGATCAGACGTTCGCAATCCTGTAGATTTGAGTGCCTGTTTTTAAAAAAATAAGAGTTTGTAAATACATAGTGCAGATAATGTATATGCTTATTCCAACTACAAGTTTTTATTCCTGTATATAAAAATTTCTACCCAGGACCTGAATATGTATATGGGCATTTTAGTGTCACTATTACCCACTTCCTGGACAAGTTTCTCATTGTTTCTTTCATTTTCTTTCACTGATTACCTTGAAATGAGCATGATGAAAATTTGAAAACATAATAAGAGAAACAGTGTCAGTCAGGATCTACATGTCAGATGAGCTTTAAGACTACATTTCGATATTACTGCATTATTGATTCAATATTACTGATTTTTGAAAAGTTTAACACAGAAGAATATAAAAACTTACTGTAATAAATTTATGAACAGGTATTTTCTCTTGTCCTTCTGCAATTGTATAGAACAGCAAATCTTCCAAGCTAGGTAACAGACCCTGTTTTATTTTACTAAAGGGAAAAAAGAAAACAAAATTAATCCTTGTGCAAACGTTCTAATGGATTTTAGGTATATCCATTATTAAATAATCACTGAATCACACTACAGCTAAGCCGAACTACTCATCAAGACTACTGTCATGATAAATGCTAATTCACCAAACTCAAACCAGTTATTACTGAAAAAGTAGAAACTAACTTATTAATGAATATAGATTTTTTTAAATCCCAGGTTTTAAAATCTTGATTACCATTTCTAGTGCTACTAATAGCGAGTCATCTGTTACGGTGATACCCTCCAGTACAGCCTAATACAACACCCAACTCTAATTATAGAGCTCAGCAAATATTCGGGTAAGAGTCAATACTTTGCTCTGTTTTTTTAAAAATATGATGACTATATTTACATATTATTAAAATGTTAACCTGATTATAAAACCTGGGGGAGAGAGCAATTACATACTGGACAATAAAGACTAATATACTAGTTCTGAATCCTAGCTATAATACTTACTAGTTGAGTCACCTTGGATAAATTATAGAACCTTTCCATGGTTCAATTTCCTCATGTGAGATGAGATAATAGTGCCTACCTCACAGGGTTGTTTATTGTGAGGATCAATTGACTGGAAACATTCAATGCATTTAGAATGATGACTGGCAGAAAGTAAACACTCAATAGATGGTAATTGTAGTTAATATTTCTAAAGTGATCTAAGCTTACGTATACAGACCAAATGCCACAAATCACAAAGGAGACTGTTAGAATATAATTTTTTTTACTATAAAAAATACATTAAAATCTTAATTTACTAATAAACTAGTATAAGATGCTGTAATTAACCAAAATTTAAACAAGAAAGGAATTTTTTCCTATCCACTAAAAAGCTTTCAAGTAAACGATAATGAAATTATAATCTTTTTTTAGCTCTGAAACTATAATTAACACATTTCCATATTCTGAACATCAATGACTTTATTACAGTGATGCAAGGATTATAGATCTAAGATAAAACAGATCTCCTCCCCATCTGTTAAAATGTGAGAGAGAAATACAAACATGTATGGCACGCTGTATAAAATATTCTGGAAAAAAGACTTTATCTATATTTCAAGAAAGCAATAGAGAAAATTAAACAAAAGGAAAGGATGGAATACTCATTTTAATAATTTTAGGACTTAATTGAGAACAACTCTGGACTAGCCATAGGTATAATGGCAAGTTTCACAGGAAAACTGTATACATTACTTTTGTAAAACAGACTGTCACAATTGCTTCTATACTGTTAAAAAGAGCTTTTCTAGGTATCTAAATATTTCCTGAATTACCCAAAGATTATTTAATAGTTCCATACTTCAGTAAGACCATACGTACTTAATATTTCCTAATATTAAGTACCTCCCTATTATTCGTGGCCCATATATTTCCATCCTAAAAGACAACAGAATATAAACTTGGTTCACAGAACATGAACAGTTATACAAACACATATCAAATTTCTCCTAAAAGAAACATTAATGTTGATATTAATATCATTTAAACTGGCTTTCAAAGCTGTTACACCAACTTTTAGGTTTTAAAATCAACCTTAAAATGTATCAATTTCATGCCAAAGTTTTAAAAAATAAAGAGTATTACCATAATTTAATGGCGTATCCTGGAATTATAAACTTCTATGTATGTAATGAAACAGGAGTTCAGATAGGTCAAGAAGCTTCCCAAGACTGCAGAGTAGCAAAAATGGATTTAGAACCCATTTCTCCAAATCCAGAGCCCAAATTATTCATTACTACAGTATACTGTCTCTCAAACTTACTAGCTATTAATTTCACAAAGTAGAATTTTTCTAGGACTTACCCTGATCCAAAACCATTAACAGCATTCAACAATACTGATGACTTAATTATTTAAAGAAAAATTGAGCTAGCCATCAAAACAGCAGTGGAAAATAACAGATCAATTTTGTACAGAAAATGGTTTGTCAAATAAACTTCAGATAGTGATAGTTTGTCACTTTAAAAAACTGCAGAATAAGCTTTCTATATATTTACACCAGTAAATGGTATTTGCTTTGCCTAAAAGCTAAGCAAATGACATAAAATATACACTTCTTTAGCTTATGGTACAGAGCACAAAAAAATTTAAATGACCATATTATTGCCACAGCTAGCAAAAAAAGGTAAATATTTACTTGCTTTTGGATGAGACTAATTTTTATCCATAAAAAAGAGATTTAAGTCATCTCTAAAAAATGTGCTTACAAAATAAATAGGTCAAAATTGATACCTATCTCAGCATTTAAAAGTTCACACTCTGATTTGAGAATGAGTTAGCATCAACTCTCTGGTAAACAAATAAATGACAAGATTCTCCCCCAAACTTCAAAAGAGGAAGAAATTACTCCAAAGATCTTTCTTGATGTTACCCCCTTTTCTCTCTCCAAATTTAATTAATACGACTTTGTGGCAACATTTCACAGTAATGTGTTTTGCTATTAAAATTCAAAAGCTAAGGGGCGCCTGAGTGGCTCAGTCGTTAAGCGTCTGCCTTTGGCTCAGGTCATGATCCCGGGGTCCTGGGATGGAGCCCCACATTGGGCTCCCTGCTTGGCGGGAAGCCTGCTGCTCCCCTGCTCTGTTCCCTCTCTCGCTGTGTCTCTATCAAATAAATAAATAAAATCTTAAAAAAAAAATTCAAAAGCTATAAACTATAGTTTTAAGCATATAGTAACTAGAAAATCCTTCAGGCATACTCAAGTTTTAATGGCAAAAAAACAGATTATAGGAGACTTTCAAATCACCACATTAGCCACTAGTGATGAACCTGAGTGAGCCATCCAGATTTCCTATGGAAAAATATAAAATGGTTATGACACTCAGCAACTAAAATAAGATATACAGAGAAGATCAGTAAATCCAAAGAAAAATACTGTTCCATACCTTTTTATTCTTTCCCTTTTATTTCCGCTTACTTCCTAATTTCTGCCCTTAAGATCCTTTCACTCTCATTTTGTGCCTTCATCTATCTACCCATTCCTTCCACTACTTTATACCCTTACAAAATACTTGCCTAGTACATAAAAATCATTATTTAAGAAGATGAAAAAGAAAAATACCATGTATTTAACTGGCATCTATGACATGTACAGCATATGTTAGTTGTTGCTTACAGTCTAAATTGAAAATAGAAGATTCACATAATGAGGAATTATAATAAGACTATGGGATCCACTCTGAAAAATTACTTCACTGTGGACTAATAACGTAAAGCATTTTTAGAAGACACAGAATTTCAGCTGGACTTGAAAGATGGTAGGAGTTGAAAACATGGCAACAGAAAGCGATTTCCAGCGAAGAAAACAGAACCACCAAAGCAATGAAGGTAAACATTCACTAGGTGTTTACAAGGAACACCAGTGAAAGCCTAAGATATATGAAAGTGCCCATTTCTCCTTATGAGCTGTGAAAATACTTAATTTTCAGGGTTGAGAGAGATCTATATAAATAATAAATGAGACTACCTCCCCAGAATGTAATATGGAGTTTAAATTCAGGGCGAATTTCTGCAACATGAAAAGAGGTACTATCTTTGTTTATTGATCAATCAAATCAGTTACCCAATACCAAAGGACAATTTAAGCTCCTCAGTCTGGTATTCAGTTCTCCATATTTGGCTTTGTACTATCTATTCCTAAACTTATCATTTTAATTAATTAGACTCACCAACCTGCAAATAAATCCTGCTACTGTGCCTTTAATTTTTTTATCTATATAAGCCTTCTGTTTATAACCTTCCTTTTCCTAATCCTTTAAGGCATCAATGATCATTTCAATCATTTGAGAGGGCTTTCCCCAACCAGATATTCTATACTCTTTTTAGCATGCACTGGGCCGCATCACTAAGCTTTGTACTTCTCTAATACAGCCTATTGTATGCTAAGCGTTGGGGATATAAAGATGAATAAAGTAAAGATGCTCTCTAGGATAAAGAAGATGACAGCAATGGGGCAAGTACTAGGACAGAAGTGTAAGAAACGTATTGGCAAGTACAAAGTAAGCATTCAATTTTGCCTTGATGGGTGGGGAAAATCAAGTAAATATAAGTTGTAATTAGGAACAATCCTGTAAACTCTCCGTCATCAGTTCAAAATTTTATTAATTAAAAAACTAGTATCAAATGAAAGGAGGAAAATGAAAGCAAGCCTTTACTAAGGACAGCAAAATGAGAAGAAGAAAAACTGAAATCAACTATATTGTCCTATTTTGTTAAATAACATTTCATGTTATCTGACTTCTCTAAACTATAAACCTTCAAGACTGGTGTATTACCTTCTTTTTTTTTTTTTTGGTGTGTGTGTGTGTGTGGAGGTTAGCTCCATGTACCTCAAATGCATTGTTTAGTATGGTAAACCTATCAGATAATTAGAAACTTTTCCCCCCAACTAGATTTAAAAAAAAAAATAAATAAAATTCCAGGGCACCTGCGTGGCTCAGTCGTTAGGCATCTGCCTTCGGCTGGGGTCATGATCCCAGGGTCCTGGGATAAAGCCCCACATCACCCCACATCGTGCTCCCTACTCAGCAGGAGGTCTCCTTCTCCCTCACTCACTCCCCCTGCTTATAGTCAGTCCCTCTCTTGCTGTCTGACACTCTCTGTCAAACAAATAAAATCTTTAAAAAAGAAAAAAAAGATCCACTAAGAGAACACAAAAGAATGCTTTGGTATTTTTACTTATGTCATCATCTTAAAACAATGATCTTTAAAAAGAAAATGGAGATGTTTTTAAATCAGTCTATCATTCTGAATTTCAAGTAATCTGATTGATAGTAATAGTTGTCCATCAACACCAGCAAATTAGATTAAACCAGTTGAGACTCACAGACATGGAGAACAGTAATGGTTCCCAGAGGGGAGAGGGGTTGGAAGTGGGGGCCAAAATGGGTGAAAGGGATCAAGAGGTACAAACTTTCAGTTATAAAATAAATAAGCTATGAGGATGTAACTTACAGCA